TCCAAAACAAAGTAATTGACATAACATGGCTGTTCACCTGCTACAGGCTTTGACTTTTGATCTGTCTGCTGTCACCTGTGGTTCAGACAAAACAGCAGCTGGATCTTATATTCTAAGTTCTCACCACTGGACTCGTGTGTGTTCATATTTTCGCTTGAATATAAATCATCCAGCACATGTGCAGTCCAGTCTGTGTGTTCTCAGGGAGTATATACACTCGCTGACAGCAAAAAATGAAAAAATAATACATGTCCCACTTCTTATTAATGTTATTCTTTACTATTACAGTTATTGATGAAGACTCTGTCAGTCCTGACACGTTGGTTTGTCCATGTATTAATGAAGGATTTCTATATTTAAAGTACACTGCCTACTTTTTGGTTGGCCGACTTATACGTTCCATTAATAAGGAATGGGGCACACATTATTATTTCATCTGGACTGTCCTGTACTGGCTCTACCCTTGAAGAGCGCCTGATTTTGTAATGTCTTATTTTTATTCCCCCCACACTAGTGACCATCACTGACTTTTTTTTAAATTTATCTTTATTAATATGTAAACAGCTTGGAAATTTGGTTCAAGTGGCACAAATGTTAAATTATTAATATCCTGCTTGGTAGCTATGTGGAATGATGTAGTATGAAGAAGAAGAAGTTGATGTATCACCTCCTAAAAGCTGGAACTTTAAAAATCTAATTTGAATAAATAAACACAATTATTTAATCTTTAGTAATGAGTAGTTACACTCAATTCTTGTACAGAAAGCTGTAATATTTGTTAGCTTCACATTGAACAAAGCTCCTAGTTTCAGGACACTAGATGGGGCTGTAACCACATCAGCACCAGATCTGAACTTCCCGACACACACTGGATAAAATCTTAACAATTCCTATAAGGCATGTTTCCGTCTTCATATTCTCTCCACAGTCTGCTGTCTCCCCATTCTGTCGTTTACTATCACTTTTTCCAGCAGCGTGTTTTTATAATGATTATATGTGAGTGTGTCAAAATTATTCCTCATTTCTTCTTTGAAATCTTTTGAGTAATTCGAGAAAAATGAAAAGTTTCAAGGGCAGCACTTGCTCCATCTTCCTTGTCCAGTGTATTAAATTCTTCATTTTTTTTGGTTTGTTTTTGATTTAATTGTTCTTGTCACTGGAGGACACGTGTTGCGAAACCACTTTGAAGTAATTTTTATGGTTGCAAATAAAATGTAATGAAATAAAAATGAAAACAGGTGCAACAATTGCAGTGTTAAAATTGCCACAATTTGTTAATTTTCAGACAGCTGTCTGTGTTAATTATTTTTATTCTTTATTTTAATTATTATTTCTGTTATTTTCCGTCTCTCAGGATGCGTATCTTCTCTGCTCTTTCCTGTGCTCTACTTTGCCTTGGTGTGCTCGTCTTCTGCTTCATAAGATTTGTTTTTTTTTTTTGTCTTTTTCTTTGTGTCCCGGTGGTGCTGTGCCGTAATGCTTTTGGCTGCTTCGCCCTGCCTGTTTTGGATTGCGTGCGAGACTGTGGACGACTCACTGGCACCCACAACTGCCAGACAAACAGACAAATGAAATGCAGGAAAGGAATGAAGGAACGGACAGCTGAATGGACAGAGAACAAGCTGTCCTAATTGGTCATTATTTCCCCGCTAATCTATATTTTCCTCCCTGCTAACCCCCAACACAGATGTGAGGAGTGGAAGGGAGGACAGAACAGAGAGGGGGGGCGGAGGGGGTCCTCCAAGGCCTGGTCGGCTCTCAACAGTGGCTTGAGCAGCGACCGTGAACATTGCTGTCTGCTTTTGTGTCTTGTTTAGGGGCAGGGGAAGGAAGGCTGAGTGGAATCCAGCAGAGGAGGGTGTAGGGGTCAGAGTTGAGACTTGCAGGTGGTGCTGGTGTTTAAGAGCCAGCAGACCAGAACGCTGCCCAGAACAAATGCGAACACATGCAAACTTTGCAGGTGGGGCAGATTTGGAGAATTCAGGTGTGTCACTTACAATTTATCCACACGTATGTACCTAAACCAAAGCAAAAACCACATTCATTCATAATGTGGTTCGCTGCCGTTCGAAGCATGCAAACACACACAAGCAGCAAAGAAGCTTAGTCAGAATATGTGTGTGTGTGTTTGTGTGCATACTGTCAAACACCCCTGAATGCAGCGCAGTCAGGTCAAAGCGGCACAGAGGTGTTGGACAACGAGGCGCTGCGGCACAAATGAGACGTCTGGTAGACATGATGGCGCTGGGAGGGGAGAGGGCCGGACCCTGAGCCCGAGGACCTGACGGGAAGCTGGAAAAGCAGAAAGTACACAAGAAGTACTCGACAAGCTGAGCAATGGTACTCATGGCATCAGATGCACTCCACCGTTTGCACCGTTTTATCTGGTTACTAGTTGCCCTGTGCTATGTGTACATATAGCCAAATCCTTTTAAATTAATTTTATTTTCAAAAGCATTTCATATTGCACTGGTGCTTGCTTGTATTTTGCACAATGACAGTAAAGCCTCTATTTAAAAATGCATGAATAATTTGAACGTATTTGCCGCATGCTAATATTGCAAAGCCTATTCTTTGTTTAAATTAAACATCTGCAATTGTTCATCTTAGTGGTGCTTTCCTCTTGATAATTAAAGTTTATGCAAGCAAATAATGTTTGGTTTACGTATTAAAAAATTAACTGACTGAATCGCCTACAACACGTGTAGTTTATTGGGTATCTGCACAATTTGAAGGCAACACATTTTTTAAACGTTCTGATATTTGTACACTTAGTGTCCTTGAGGAAATCCAGTGTGCTGCTACTGTATTTTTTGGTGTTCATCCCTCCTGTTCTTGTTCCTACACAAAGCCCATCCGAGAGCCGCTGGTCCGAGAAGCCCCACACAGAGAACAAGCACCAGGTCCAACATGTACTTCTGGTACCAGGGTTGCACCAGTGAAGCTGGCCTTAAATGAGTTCCACCTCCACTGTGCAGAATGTGCTCCACCCACTGGATGAGTCGAAGGGCTGGAGGCACAGGGTGGGATTTGTGGATCCTGCTGAGGGACGAAGCCGAAGACTTGAACCTAGAAACGAGAGAAACAACTGAGATTACTGAAGAAAGAGAAAAGGGAGTCTACTGGTATCACAAATGTTGGCGAGCGTTCCCTTCTCATACCTGATGTCCTCTATTAGTGTTTGAATGGTGGCACTGAGCTGCTCCCTGGTGATTTGTGTGGGGTTGATGGTGAGGCCAAGTCCCTTTGTCTCAGCCCTCACCATATTATCAAACTGGTCTCCAAACAGAGGGATTCCCAGCACAGGAACAGCATGGTACACTGCCTGAAGCAGGCTGTTTTGTCCACCATGTGTGATAAAGAGGCGGGCTTTTTTGTGGCCTGGGGTAAACGGAAAAAATAGATGCACTTAAAAAATGAAGTAAGACTGTTTGGGTCCAGTACCGACTGATTAAACATACAAATGAGGACAGTCTGTCTTACAAATTAGGGTTTAAGTAACACAGACCAAACCACTGCTGATCTTATTTTTGACAAAAGCCAGTTGGGCAGATATATACACATGAACACTGTCACTTTCATTACTATGAGGCAAAAACAAAGTACAGCAGAAAATGGATGATGCCTCCATGGTATATTGATTCGGCTTTTTATTTTTATTTAATGTATTTACGAAAACCCTGTCTTTGCCTTGAGTCAGCTGGGATAGGCTCCACCCGAGTGAGGCTTAAGCGGTCTATAGATAATGGATGGATGGATGGATTTACTGCGCATTTAAAGAAAAATTCTTTCCCTCTGCTGCAGTCTTTGTTAAGTATCTGATAAGAATTTATCCTGAAATTTGGTCATCTTTCAGACTGTCCAAAGTAGCCACAATTAATAAGTTCTTTTTTAAATATCCTGTGACTGGCCTTTATCGTTGGAGAAAAGGGTAATAAAAGGCAGGCTGCTCCTACCCAACAGGTCATTAATAGGCAGCCAGTCCACTAGCCTTAGATTGGGAGGTCTGTCCATGTGGAGCGGCCAATGCTGGGAGTCATACCTGCAAGCACAACACTGCAGGTTTAGGAATGTTCCACAGCTTACTGACATAAATTCAAAACACAAGGTTTGTTTTAATATGTTGTAAAGTTAAAAGTGATGGGTTTTTTTATTACTGTATGAACTTTATGGTGCGTTTACCTCCAGAGAACCCCCTGAGGGATCCTGGAGAATCCAGCCACCAGCTCCACAAGCAGAGGGTCCACAGAGACCGAAGAGACCATAGACCCCAGAGTCACGACAACGAAACCTGCTTCTCCAAAACTGGAGATCCACGACTCAAGATCCTGCAGGACCACAAGGGTTGGGGATAAAGAAAGTAGGCAGAGGGATGTTTGCAGAGTGTACGGTAAGGTAGGAAGAGAGGGAGATGGATGAGCATGGGGAGGAGGAGCAGTGGACAGGAAAGAAAGTGGGACAATGAAAAGTAAAGAGAGGAAAAGAAGGTCAGTTAATTTGAAAACCTGACACTCACGGGTGTATTTTAGGTTCGAGCATCGAGAGAAGAGACCTGCTCCAGTGGCTTGGCCGGCTTACTGAGCAGACCTCCCACCAGCACGGTGTAGGGCATGAGAGGCTGAGGGAACTCCAGTGAGAAGTCAGTGTTGAAGGCCCAGAGTTCAGCTCCTTGATGTAACTCGCTCAGACCACCAGGTGGAGGGCCCGACTCTAGGTGGCGCTCGGTGACTTCCTTAAATATCGACCACACGATTTCCTGACCTTTGATATGAGACACAAGACGTCATCAGAAATACCCGTTGAAAGCCATTTAGATACAATAATCATACCGACTTATTTAATAGGTGTTAGCTGAACCGCTTACGGGCTAGTTTAAAAAAATATTCAGAGCATTCTGTCTGTGAGAAATATAAAGTTGGTGGATAATGTCAGGAAGCTTTGATTTACTATGATAATGAGAAAAAATCTCACTCCTGTCTGCAGGCTACTGTAGATCTAAATGTTGTTAGACTGGAGAAACAAAACCAGATTTAAACTGAAGACACATTTAAACATCTTCACCATGTGCAAGTGGAATATTAGCCTAAATAAATAAATAAAATAGAGGACACTGAAAGATTTAAAGAACAGAATGAAGTGCTGTTTTAAGATTGTGTGCTAATGGCAAGTGTTGCTGAACTTAAATGAAAGACAAATAATAAGAATAATACTACAGAGCCAGTATATTATAAATAAGAGGAGAATGAGATCGGCATAGAGTATACACACATGGTACATTCATGATAAAAAAGAAAAAAGAACAATGCTCAGAACAAACAGTGAAGTGAAGGCTTCTACTCTGGCAATATGTGATCTCTAATGTAACAGCATTCTTACCTACAGGAGCCAAGAAAGAATAAAAGAGGTTCTTTGCACGTCCCCAGAGGTTCATGTGGTCGGACAGCCGGGAGCCAAAGACTGGAATGTAGGAGACTGGGCTGGGGAGGGCGATGGACAGAGGACCGTTCAGACTGCCGGGGTAGAAAGCCACGTAGCGGACACCTGGGGTAAATCAAGAGTAACGGACAATAAATCTGGCTGACTGTTTGAACCAGCACATTTTAATGTATCTGCAATCTGAAAACAACGGAAGTGCCTTATTGGTGTATTACTGTAATAATGGTTAGACTGAAAGGATGATAGTAGTAGTGACATAAAGGGAAGTTATACCAAGTTTGTGTGCCACGATGAAGGAACAGGGGTTAAAAGCATCCAGGATGGCCATGTCATAGCTTTCCCTCTGAAGCGACGTTATTATTTCTTTGTCCCCCAACAGCTTGTCACACTGGAAGGACAGGTGTCCCATGAAGTTCAGAAAGCCATTAAAATCATCCCTGATCAGAGAGACAGAGCAGTGAGGCAGCTTAAATCTGATCTATTAAAATGCTGTTAGAGACAATTATTAAACATTTCATGTTCACGTTAATCAAAGCTGACAAATTGGGCATCAGTATAAGAAGAGCTCATCTGTCTCTCCTGCTGTACTTATATGTGCAAACTCCTAAAATCAGTGTGATACCTTCCCAGTAAGAACTGTGTTTGTTGCTCCAGGAACCAGGCGTTGTATTCTTTGATGTACTTTTCTCCCACAGACCAGCTGCTTCTCTTGTAGCTGTCGGCCCGACCTGCGTAGGAAAGACCTGGGAGGAGCAGAAACATTATGGTAACAATAGTGACTCTGTATGTGTGTGTGTGTGTGTGGGTGTGTGTGTGTGTGTGTGTGTGTGTGCACAATATACCTGTAATAACCGGGTTGCCCAGTTGCAAGAGCATGCGGACCTCGTGGCCATGTTGGTGTAAGCTATGAGAAATTTCATCCAGTAACAAGTAATGGCTTCCTCCTGTGGGAGAGGAGACATTTCCAAAATGAGTCATGCTATCACTATGAGATAGAAATATACGTCTCGCTGTTTGCCACATACAGAGGAGGTTCTTTCACAAACACTTCACAGATAGCTACAGTAAATACTTCTATTACAACGACTAAAGGACTCTTTACTCCACTACTCACCAATCAGACAGACAGTCAGGATCTTGGCAGACTGAAGCAGTGGAAGAGCCAGAAGAGAAAACGTCCAAAATACAATCTCCATGCTGCTATTGGAGCACCGCGCACTGACCTGCAAGCAAACTGTCTCTCTTCCAATTCAAAAATAAACTGAAATCAACCTTCCTTTAGAGAAACTTAACTCTGCAGATCCAGCAGACAGCTCCAAAAAAAATCAGGTGTGGTCCAGAAAAGTTTCCACCAAAAAAAAACCAAAAAAACATCCAGCAGTGAAAAATTACCAAAATAAAACACAGAAAAGTCGCGTTCTTTGAAAACTCATCCTTACACCAGGTGAGGTCCGGTCCAGGAGTAGAGCTTCTTTTACTGCAGTGTCAGGTTGATAAAGGGGAAACCTCAAGTCCTTTTCCAGTGGACCTAAAATGCATCCAGCACGCGTTATCTTGTAATAAAAGTAAAAAAATCCAACATTAAGGCGCCGATTGATTCCTTATAATTTGAGAGGTTCTGAGTGCAAGTCTGATTCTGTCTATGTGACACACGTGAGAAGCTCTATTTCCTCTAAAAGTCAGACACTGAGAAGTCCAAGAGCTGCACTGATAGTGAAAGGGAGGGAAAGAGAGAGAAAGGGTGGTGGGACAGGGGGGTGAGGGGTTCCCCAAGCCCCTATCAGATTAGACAAATGAAAATGTTAAGAGGAGTTTCATCCTCTCGAGGTTCCTGACAGAAAGCTCAACAACAATAAGAGCAGGAAAGCACTTAATTAATGAATAATAATAATATTTGTTGAGACACCTGCACTGAATCTGGATAATTTATGCTTAAACAAGTTATTTTGTTTGCAGTAATAAAAATATTTCTTACAACACAGATTATTACTTAATTATTTATTTAAAATTGTTTAGATACCTCTTTTTAAAAATCTGTTTTTTTCACACAGCATGCACATTAATTTAACAGCAGTGAGTAGCTACCATGACACATTAGTGCTGAATGAACCGTGGTGGGGTTGTGGACGCCCTGGCAGCCAGTGACTGGCAAGTCAGGCTTGACATGTAGGTTATCCTGGACAATGAACTCATTGTAACCGCAACCGGTGCTTTTCTGTGTCAGAGAGGTCATTAGAAAAACAAGTCAGTCAGAAAAACTGCTGGAGTGTATCAGGAGGAAAAAAAAAAAAAAAGAAGTGAGTCACAGGGGTCAATCCTGCCACCATTGATGTTATTATTGTCGTCGCAAGTATGTTCCAACTCCAGCCTTCATTAGTTATAGTCGTTTCTGAATCGAGGTTTGATCGCACATCTATTCTTTCAACATTGAAATAAGCATAAACACCCATCCATCCATCATCTATACACTGCTTAATCCTCACTAGGGTTGTGGGGGGAGGCTGGAGTCTAGCCCAGCTGACTTAGGACAGGTAAGCAGTCTATCACAGGGCTACACTTAGAGACAGACAACCAAGCACACTCACATTCACACCTACGGACAATTTAGAATCACCAATTAACCTCAACATGTTTCTGGACTGTGGGAGGAAGCCGGAGAACCCGGAGAACCCGGAGAGAACCCACGCTGCACGGGGAGAACATGGAGACTCCACGCAGAAAGGTCCCGGTGCCCCCACCTTCTTGCTGCGAGGCAACAGTGCTAACCAACTGCGCCACCTTGCAGCCCAAGTACAAACATTTCAAACATAAATGTAATGAAAGTTTTCACATGTGGCCAAAGTAACATATATTTATTTTTTTAAGTAAATGCAGACAGCAGCATGTACGTGTGCCGTGTGTTGTCTTGTCCTTCAGGAACCTGTCACGCTGTCTGACTCGCCTTCATCCTGATGTGCCTGTAGCAGAGATGGGAGCTTGGACTCGAGACTCGGACTCAACTGTCTAGACTCGGGCCTCAACTCGGGACTCGACCGTCCAGACTTGGGACTCGACTGTCCAGACTCAGGGCTCGACTGTCCAGACTCAGGACTCGACTTGGGACTCGACTCTGACATGCAAAACAAGGACTTGGTCCCATCTCTGGCCAGTAGCACGCTATGGATGCTCTGAAAGACAAAGTGAGAGAGAGAGAGAGAGAGAGAAGTTTGAAATAAGAAAGAACGGTAGAGAGGGAGAGAAAGATGAAGTTAATCCTCGTGTAAATTTGTCAGTATAAAAAATAAGCTATGAGAAAATGTTCACACATGATGTTGCAGGTACGTGTAACTGATGGTGGCAGCAGAAGACAAATGGTTTGTAATTTTGGATTTTCAAGTCAGAATAAGGGAGCAACTAAAAATACAGATGAGTCAACATCCGATCCAATTCAATTTTATTTATAAAGCACTTTAAGACTCCAAGACTCGTGGAGACTTACCACAAGTTGGTAGTGGGTCAAGGTCTCCAACAGGACCTGGATGAAAGGATGCTGAGAGAGAACGGAGAACGGAACGCGGTCCTCGGGCTCGTATCCCAGCTCTCTGAATAGCTGCACCAGGCTCTAGAGGCAAGCGGGGAGAAATAGTATTACCATGTGGGAAGAGCCAATAATTAAGCATAGAAAAGTATTCTTTAGAGTTTTTCAGACTCCTCAGTTTCTTACGGTATTCTGCAAACCCATAGAAACAATGATTGCCAGATGGTACAATTTATTTCCCTCCATCATGGGATAAGGTGCATCCTAACTGATCGAAACTTATAAATCAGAGCATGAATTCTCCCCATAACATACGAATTATGGTTGCATTACAATCCCTCGTGTTGTCCTGTAAAACAAGTCAGGAAGGAAACACTTTAACTGTAAAGCTCACACCTTATAGTTGTGTTTTACAGCTTAAATAAAACAGACTATGCCTTTAAAGGGGCACATTGATGGTAAAACGAATGAAAACAAGCTCTTGCCATGAGGAAACACATTTTCCATCTATTTAGTGAGTTATTTCTTTCCCTAATTGTCTTAACCAATCGTTTATGTGCATCATTAACTTTATAGGGATGTACCTCAGTAAGCTCCTCCCGACTCAGGCAGCCTGGAGGACGGGGGCTGTCGTCCTTTTGTTCGGTGATTTTGTGGCAGATGACAGCGAGGAGAGCAGAGATCGACACTCCTTGCTCGCCAAACAAACTGCTCGACGCACACAGAGGCTCTTCTTCCTTGTAGTCTCCATCAAGTTCTGAGGAAGTGAGCTCTGTAGCTTCTTCCATACGGGGCATAGACTGTATACACAACACACAATCGTAACACTTACATGTTTTATCCCAAAACAAACCACCAGACACATGCTGTCGTATCATTCTAGCATAATTCTGAAAACACTGGCGATACAAATATTGTTTTTGCAACATGAGATAAGAAAGCAGTTGATTTTATTTAATTTTCTTTACTCACCTTGACAAGATGGTCCAGCGAGGAGAGCTGGAGATGTTGCCCCATCACGACGCTGAGTGCCCTGATGAAACCCTGTCTGGGGTTAGGGTCGGCTGCAAAGTACTGCAGCATGGAAACGTAATCCAGTCGAGAGGGAGAAAAGGAGTGGTCTGCAAACAGCTGGAAAAAGAACTGAGAAGGAACAAACGTTAGTGTTCATTTATTTTATATTTAACAAAGTGAATGACTGTATCCCCTACCAGAGTGCTATATGTCAGTTCCTTCCTTTGGCATAAATCACAAAACATGTATGTCTTTAATGTTGTTTGTGACACCTTAGTTTCCCAATTAAGGAATCGAAATGAACTCAAGTCAGTCACCTCACGTAGGTTAGCCAGGTGGTCAAACGGTGCAGGTTCAGGGGGGTCCTCAGGAACCGTCTGGACACTCTCATGGGAAAACCACAACTCAATCTGTTGGTATGTGAGGCAAGCAAAGCAACTTAACCATATATTTTTACATTACAGTTTTTATTTAATACTACATAAAGTAAACAATATAATCTAAATGTGTTGTCACATTAACCTGAACCCAGGCCTGCTCATAGAATGAGTCTGAGTACACAGTAATGACAGAAAAGCAAGTGGATAAATAACTTGGTTTATCCAGAGCAGAAGGACTCAAAGTGATTTAAAAAAAAAACACAGAAATATCAAACCAGCAAATCAGCAAACCTGTAGATACTGTTCCTTGTGTATATAGCCTGCATCACCAGCATCTGCTGCCTTAAAACGCTGTCGCACAGCCAGCAGCTGTGTTAAGGAGGGAAATGGCCAAGGAAGAGCAGCACTGAGCAGAAACCGACGCCAGTCGATCAGCTCATAACCGTCCATTAGCAAAGATACGATTTCCATCATCTGGGGACAGGAAAGAAAACAGCCATGCTTGAAGCTCTGTAATGTGTCTTTTATTTGACTGTTTAGATTATGCAAACTACTGAACAATGAAGTTCAGAAATGCGTTTTGTTTTGCTTTGAATTAAATATGCCCTATTTGCTTGAACATCATGTTAATATTGGCAAAGCACCAAGGATGATGTGATTCCAGCTAGGTCTGCTGCCCCCCTCCTAACAGAAATGGTTTCTTGTTATTATTTTATTTTAAAGACATTTGTTGGCTAACTACCTGTGCTTCATTTGTGTCCCCCCGGGGCTCAGGCAAGATGCATTTGCCCATTTCACCAGAGGAGACACCCTTGAGAAAACTGGAAAACTTAGAACTGGACATGAGACCTAAAAGCCAGAAAGCAGGAAGAAATGAATGATGGATGTGGAGAGGAGGATCAATTGATCCAGTTACACCAGCTAGCATCCCTTATATGTACCTGATGGAGCAATGTCGCATAGCTTTTGGTGGAGTGACTCTAGCTGAGTGATAGTTCGGGTGGACTGTGTGGGTGAAGGAGGATGGGGAGGGGGAGCAGGGTCAGGCACCATGTGGTGGTCTCCATTCAGATAGAAGTCAGAACATTCCTGTAGAAGTGAAAATGGAGAACACGGTCAAATGTCACACTACTGAAAAACAATTCTAATATCTTAAAAAAAAGCATGAAGCTACTGCATACCAACATCAGCTTATTCTGCAGCTTAGCACCAGCCTCTATGCTGTGGTGAACCACATCAGATAACTGGTCAATACTAGAGAGAGGGGAGACACAAATAAAATGTGTTTCTTTTACATAATCAATGACAAAAATATATATATATCTGAATATATCTATATGTGCTCTTTTTATATACATATTCAGTTTGTTATTTTACAAGAAGAATGTGTTTTTCTATATAATTTCAGAGTAACTTTAGGAACACTTCGCTTTATTTTCAGGGCTACATTCACACATATTGCATTCTGACATGACACAGAGATTTTTTAACACACTAATCAATACCAATTCAACAGATCCCACTGTATGCAGACACGGCCTAACCACACCGTACCATACATGATCATACACTGAACCATACCTCTTCATTTCTGCGAGGTAGCGTGCTGCTAACCACTTCTCCATACTGCTGAAGGCCTGTTCTGCTCGGCTCTGCAGGGAGTGTAACATCACCAGACCGTGACCTTTCACCAGTGCAATGCGCACCTTTGCTGCATTCTCTAGAAAACACACACACATGCGCACAAAACACAATTATATACACATCTTGACCATATATTTAGTGTATAGGTAAAATATTACAAAATAAAGAAGCCACTACATCTCTTAGTGTGTGTCTATGTGTGTGTGTACCCTCAGCGTTCAATGCAGCTGTGTATTCCTTGTGTATTTTTTCTCTAACTTCCTGATCACGAGTCTTCTCTGAGTTTCTGTCATCGGCTGGTGCAGGGCTCGGTGCCGGGGGTGGGCTTGGTAGACCTGAGCAACAGAATGTGTGACATGAAAGACCTCCTGAAACACACAGTGAAATGCTAGAAGGCACCTCTCAACATTTCTTCATACTCTACAAGAGACATGCCTTTCTGCTTTTTTGCTGACTGCTTTCCCTTTTTCGTTTTCTTTGGGTTTTCAGAGGCCTTCTCTTTCTCCTTCTCCTTCTCTTGTACTTTCTCCTTTTGCTCTTTTGTCTCCCTCTGGTGGGCTTCTGCTGACACCTGTACATATGAATAACATGCAGGTTAGAAATGCAATAACACGCTCATGCAAACTCTTAAACTGATACACGGCATTACCAGTTTGTCGATGGCTGTGAGCGCGCCCTCGAAGTCACTGATCAGTTTCTCCTCTGGTTGCTGGAGCAGATTACAAAAAGGGTCAATATTAATACATTAAGTAAGCGTCAGGGTGTTTCAAGGTACAAGTTTGCAAAATACATTTAAATTCATTGAGAATGACAAAAAAATTCCTTTGTCAACCAAAAGGAAAAGTCTAAAATCAACAAAGACAGCAAGGTACATAATACAGTATAGTAACTATGAATCAGTTACAGACCTTGAGGAGGACTAAAAAAATCAAAGTTATTGAAAAGTACATAAAGAAAGACCTGAAGAGGTTCTGTCTGGTCCTGGCCTTTTGTGTCAGAGCCCCCTTTTGAGGAGTCAGGACGTCTGAGGAGGAGAGTACGTGAGAAGAGGAGGGAATTGTTCGTATATGCACGAGTACAAATTACTTGAGCGGACATCAAACACTGCAGAAAACTTGAAGGAAGCACTGTAGAGCTTCTTCCTGACAATTTAGTTTTCTTCCTGTCCTCTCCATCGTCCATGTGACTTAACAGACTTGTGCCTGGTGGGTGATTACTGGTAGCACATAAACTATTCACAGCGTTGTCATTTTATTTTACTGTCTTGTATTAACATGTTTAACAAGTTGTTGCTTGCCTCTCATTCTGATCCTTGGTTTCTGGGGTCTCCAGTAGGGGGATAGAGGCCAGTTTGCTCGGTGGTTCTGGCAGCACCTGCGTGTACATGCTCAAATAGTAGACCCTGAGAAAATGGAGGGTCTTCTGGAAACGGTTCAGCTCCACCTGTACAACATAAACAATCCAAGATTATGATCTTGTCCAAAAATAAGTCACACCAAATGTTGACAATAAACGTGCCTTTAACACAACAGAATACATCAGCTTATAAATTTGCAGAATTAAAAAAAGAAATCACCACAGTTACCTGGATTAGTGCAGAGTGCTGGTTGACGAGGACGGCGGTGTGCTCCTCCAACCATCTGTCGCACATGAGAGCAGTCCTCTCTTGCTCGTCCTTCTCCTTACGCTTGTCACTAATGTCCCACAAACGTTCACGCAGTTCCTGTGCAGGTATCAAAACAGCGCCAGTATTTTATATTTTAACATTTAGGACAGTTTATATAATATTTTTTGATTAGTTTAAGAATGTTTGTTTTGTATCAGAGCACAAGTTCTATTTACATCCAGTCTCAAGTGCAGTTCTGCGTTGGTGTCCTCTTTTCTCATATCATCAGGGACGCTGTTGAAATCCTTCTGCCACTGAGACACCAACTCCTGCTTCAAATCTGGACGCCTCAAGTAATGCTTGTAACCCTCTCTGCAGACACCAAGAACCAGGGAAAAGGTACGAATAAATGTAGTATTCATCAAATATTCCATAGATTTTTGTTGACTTGAAAAGCATCTCTGACAAAGGAGCTAATGGTATGTAAAGCTGAGTCATATCATACAAAAAAACAAGAATAACCTGGGACTAACACTGTTCAAGTTTCATACACAACCTGCGGCAATGAACATAAACAGCAAAATCTAGTACTAAAAGGATAAAAAGGAAAAAGTAATTGTAGTTAACAGGCTGTTATTGGCTCTAGGTGTGTGGCTAGCCACGCTGTTAGATGTATAGAGAGAAAGATTCCCATTATGTACATTCTAATGTGCTTGTCTGTTGTTAGTGTGAAACCTGAAATAAACATGTTCACACTACCAGAATGGTCTGGCAGAGTACCTGACGTTGTACAGGTGATGATTGAGATCAGTGCGTTGTGAGCGAAGCTGCTGCATCACTTTCTTTGCGCTGTTCACATAAGAATTACACAACTCATCCCAGTAAAGGCTCAGGTGCTTTGGTATCTCCTAGAGATAAGACAGGGAGGGGAAGATATAAACAAAGGAGGGGGTACAAGAAAATAGAGAACAATAAAAGAAAACAAGATACAGCGTAAGATGTCACGTAACTGATATAAACTGGAGGGAAACACAGGCAGGAGACCACGAGCTCACAGGCTGAATCTGATTAGAAAGCCACTTTGCTTTAACCCCCGTCAGAGCATTTAAATGTCATGTCATATTTTGTCGACAAAACCACATATTTCAGGATGAAAAGAGATTACAGGTTCTCCCCCGACACGAACAAGCAAAACAAAGACAAATAGAACTCTAAGGCAAACAAACAGAAGTAGAAGTTGTATCCTACGGAGGGAAGAGGTTTGTCCACGTAGGCCTGGCTGGAGGAAGTTGGGCAGGAAGAGACGGACTCGGTTGGGTTCTTGGCGACTGTTTGCGAGTCCTCATTGGACACTGAAGAAGCTGATGCATTTCCAGAGTGCCCTATTATTAGCCAGAAGAAACATACATTATTTTTCAAAAAAATCTAATTACTGAATGTTAATCAATATATAATAACAACCATAGTATCAGATTAACTTAATTGAATCAAATAAAAACTGATAATGACAGTTTCCTTGTTGATTACAGCAGTGAGAAGGCGATTTAGCACCAAAGCACTCTAAAATAGTGCCAGACTACCCAACAACAGGTATCATATTTAAATTACCTTCAACAAATCAGTCAACATAACGGTGTTACAGGCAGCATACATCTATGAGTCTACTCTCTGGACTTAGTCTCACAGGGAAGGTTTTTCCAAATCGTTACTATATCAGTTTGGTATGTTTGGAACATTAATTGTGTCTACATAACCAAAAAAAAAGAGTCTAATCTGCCATCCAAAAGACATGAAACTGTCAACAATACATCATGTTTAAAATAAATAGAACTTGTACTAATATAATACTGATGGGCTGAGTTTCTTTCGTGACCAAAACTGACTTTCAAATACCAAATGTAATGTGTAATCCACAGACTACAGATGACGTCACCTCTTGGAGAGTGTGTGTTGGATTTGGAAAGTGACGTCACACTTCTGACTTTTTTCTCTTTAAGGCTGGAGTGGGACTCTTTGGGGCCGAGCTCTTTGTCAGTGGGAGCTGGAGGCCGGCCTGGAAGTGGAGGTGTGGCTGAAGGAGAAGAAGAGTCTGGAGCTTCTGCACTGTCGAGCACAGCATCTTTTACAGGAGGCGAGGCGAGAGCTGATGAGGAAATATGTCATAATACCATGAAGAAACTGACTCTGAGTAGGACAATGATAAAGCAGGAATTTGACAACCACTTACCTTCTTGTGCTTCCAGCATAACTTGTTGCAGGACGGACTCCACCCTGCTGTAAAGCTCATCGTCATCTACGTCTGCATCAACACGCACCAAAATGTTTTGCTTTCCGCCAAACCATTCCTCAAGTTCTGGCCAGTTTTCCTGAAAACCTGTGATCCTTGAGGAGGAACGTCATGTTAGATTCTAAACACACTGTTGTGCAGTGTCGTACTTATTTCAGTTTGCCCTCCCATTTGATTACCTTTGTGGAATCTGTGCCAGGTATAAGTTTTGGTCTGTGGGTTTGGAGGTTGTACCAGCAGCGGTATTTGTATCTGCACCTGGTTTAGGAGAAAAACCACATAAACACAAACATTCAACTCCTTACTTGTGTCTGTATCATACACAGACTATCAAGCAGACTGGTTGCACAGAGATACCCAGTGTTAAGATCAGTGTAGTGTACCTATATGATCGAATGCACGTTTGACCACACGCTCATCGGGGACATCCAGCAGCAGGGCCAAGTCCAGCACCGGAGCAGGAGGCGGTGGAGGTTTGGGTGGATTAGGGTCAGCAGCAAGGTTCAACTGGCTGCTTACAGCTTCATTCCCTGCATCTACGGACCCACCCAGGGCTTCCTCTAGCAGGTGAGCCTGGCTGATGTCTACTGGAAAGCCATCCAGGATCCAACCCGACTGAGCCGGAACCTGACTGTTGAGGACACAACAAATATTTCAGAAAACGTTTGTGAGTTCTTTTATTTTGTCTACACTGATGTGACATTGTGAATTTTAAAACGAACATGATATAACCAACTACATCCTAAATACAGCATTTTATAGTTGCATAGGTTTTGTGCTTACCTGATTGCCTCGACTACAATGTCCACTAATAGCTCATTAGGGAGGGGCTTCCCTTTCCTCAGCTCATTTTCTGCAGCTGCTCCCTGGACAGCACGAGTAGACAGCTAAGAAGAGACATGAGTAAGCAAGAAAATGGGTTATATTTCTAACAGGTACAGAACAATTTAGGAAAAAAATACTCAATATTTTAAGTCTCCAAAATATATAATTTATATTTATTGGTGAAAAAAAGGCCAATGGTGTCATAAACTGAATACAGGATATACTTACTCTTGCATTACTGTCTTTACCTTCCTCTTGAGTATCAAGATCTGAAAAAAGTGAAATTATAAGTGACACATATCACATAAAATAATAAATAAATACGCGAGTAACCCACCAGATTTCAATGACGTGGACGATGCAAGCTGCTGCTCGCCGTCTTTCTCCCCCTGCTGCTGTGTGTCCTGAACTTTCTGTCCAAACAGTGAAATGTTTCCGATCAATGCGGACCTTTCGACGCACTTTGTTTACAGACTGATACATTTTGCAAACACAGCAGAAACTTGTGAGATTTTACGCCCCTGAAAAATCTTTTCAGAGCAAAATTACGTGCTTGGATTAAGATAAAAGTGATACTGATAAAGCTGATATACTGTAAATCTCTAACCTCCTCTCCATTCCTGTAAGCATTCACTGCCTCTTCAATCAGTGTGTCAGTCGACAAGACACAGATGCCATGTGCTGAAGCAAAAAAAACACAAACTCAGCAACAAAAATAGCCATATTTAACATATTATTTCATAGTTAGGTAGGGTGACATTGTGTTGGTGTGTATGCTTGCATGCCTTCAGCAATCTTGGCCAGGCAGGTGGTCTTGCCAGAGCAAATCTTGCCCAGGACACAGGCCTTGATGGTAAAGTTAGGAAACACAGGCGGTTCCATGACGGGCGGATGAACAACGCTCCTTAGTCGGTGGACAACATGTCCAAGAATGTCGTTGTTGGCCGGGGGCAATTTTGTCTCCCCTGCTTCCTCTGGCCACGCCCATTCACCTACCATACTCTGACAAATATAACACGCTTCTGTTTAGTGCCGACATAAACTTTTCAGCGTCAAAAGATGTAATGCGGTTTATGATTTACTGCACTTTAAACTCACAGTGTATTCATCATAATCCTGAGTGTTGAGTGTCTCTTGCTTCTTAAGCTCTACGGGGTCTAGTTGGGTAGAAAACTGTGGCTGGTGGCCCTTTACCGGCTCAAAGAGAGGGAGGCCCCTGAACAGCAACTCCTTCCACTCTCTCATCAGCTTCCCTGGAATCAGACTGGACATGACAGCAGGAAAAAAAAAAAAAAAGAAATGACTGGGGGCAAAGCTAATGAGAGGAATTGTGGTTACAATAAAATCTGGGCCATACATCTGGAAATGGTTTGAACCACTTTCACATTCACAACCGACTCTAGTGCACAGCGCTTCGTCTTCCAGATTTGTCATTTTTTGGCTGAGCCTGACAAGTGTTCAACAGAAGTTCTTAATCTGACTCTGAGTAGGAGGGAGTACTGAGCAGGGCTGTGTGGGCAGTGTATACTGGTGTATTTGATCATAGGAAGAAGCAGACAGGGCCTCGACATCTCCTGACTTTATTTGGACACTGGCCAATTGCACAAGAAGTATTGCAATATTTGTAAATGTTCATAGATATTTAGCTCACATCAGAGTTAGCACTACTCCACAATGCTTCAGTTTTGTTTTTTCTTTTTACATGACATAAAATATTTCAGTCTTCAGTCAAATTTCACTTCATTGGGACTTTCCTAAGATACCCTTTTATGTTGGAAAAAAACACAGTAATGAAATTAACAAACCAATATGTAAGAGATTGAAATAGAACTTAAGTTAATTTAAGGGGTGCATGATATATACTGTCTTTAAGTCTATTTCTTTGAAAGGAAAAAAAAATTGACCTAGTTTTACTAATTTTTTATTATCTTTTTAAATAAATAAATGAACTTTGTAAATACAGTAGAGGATTTGACCTCTCCCTGCCATAGTCCCATCTTTCAGATCAAGAAGTCCCCAAAGCACAAACATCTTAACAACTTACATACAGTACATTCTCAGTATAATACTACCAAATAACACATCTTTTAGAACTTGGAATCGCCACATATTCACACTAACTGCCTGAACAACTGATGTTTATGAAGGTTTAGAGTCCAAATACTATTTGCGTGTTTCTACTGCATCTCTAAAAGCAGCTACGTTACGTACTTTCCGGTGAGCTTTCGGTATTCTCCGACCTTAGTTGCCAAGTCCACTATCTGCTCCAAAATGTCCTTGCAGCTCTTAAAGTGCTTCTCGTATCTGCTGTGAGCTCGTTCGGCAGCCATCCTGTTACAGAATTCAAGCTCCTTTCTGATCTCCTCTGCACGGTCCAACTTAGCCTGCTGAGCCAAAACCTACACCAGGCCCCGGTCAGAAAGACGGAATGAGTAGAGAGGACATGACATAAATGCTCCTGCTAAATACCAGTGGATTAAACAAGCTACACAATGTTAAGAGAGTTATTTATTGTCTAATACTTAGAACTATGCATTTTTGGACAATAAAATAAACAATAAAAGGATTAAAAGGATTTGAATCGTTGTTTCTTACTGTGCATCTGATGCTTCAGTAAGTAAATAGTAAATTCCTGGTTTGCCAAAAGACACAGAGTCAATAATACCCAATGAAAGCATGTATGCACATTTGATTGTACGATTTCTACATGATCTCCTCAACAAGGTGCTTTCACTTTTTAAATGGCGACTTGATTCCACAGAATTCTACTCGGGTTGACTAGGAAATTAAATTGTTGACACGACCATTGCACCATACAATATACTGATTATTATTATTATTATTATATAAAATGTTGAACATTGAACATGAACATTGTCAACAAATCCCATTAAAAATTCAAAACCAGTGAAGAATTGTTATTGCTAACCAGTATTGTTGTGTATCCCAAGCCTGGTTTAGTTTATTCTTCTTTATCATATGACTCTATTGTTGCCCAGAAACAATTAAACATACAACACACTGCTGCATTGGGTGACATGGAAGCGTAACACCAGCAGCCACCCTGCGCCTGCTGGGCCTATTGGTGGCAGCGTGGAGGACCTGGGAGAGATGAAGGAGGAGGAGGAAGCAGAAGTGGAAGAAGAGGAGGAGACGGTGGAGAGCACCCAGTCCCAGTCCTTCCTTGGAGCAACGTTCACCCTCCTACTACACCTCCTCTCCCCGGCTTCCTCTCTCCCCACTCCAGTCTTCCACTATACGGAAGTTGTGCGGCAGCCATCAACCGAATATGATGAAGCCCATTTCCCCCTATCTGTGCGGTTCAGGGAATTAGCTGTAAGCTCTGGTCTTTTCATGGGATTTACTGACAAATAGGAAACTATAGGTAGTCGCCGTAGTTATGACTTAACACTTACTATATGAGAATAACACTGAACTGAGTATCTTTGCCTTTTTTCTAAGACACTAGTCATTTACATTATATTATGTGATCACTGGAAGGACAACAGATAAACATCAAGGTGTTTTTGACATGATTCACACAGACTTACTTGAACCTTTATTCGTACCAAAGTCCCTCAAGTCTCTCTCTTTCTTGTCATAATACTAAAAACCCTGTTCATACTATACAAATGATCAAAATACATCATTTTGCTTCTATGACACTACTATCATTGACAAAGGGCTACTCTTCTTCCTTATTCATCCTATCTCACCGCCTCCCTGTCCAGAGCTTCCCGGAAGTCCTTCTCCCTCCGCTGCTGGTACTGCTGCTCTCTGAACAGGCGGTTCTCCCGAATCACCTCCTTCTGCGCACGTGTCTGCAGTAGCTGAGCGGCCAAGCCCTGCTCCTGCCGAGTCTGACGTGTCAGACGCCTCACGAGCTGCTCCTCTCGCCACGCCTCCTAAAACGTGGGGCGAAGATGGCTGATTAGTTGACTGATCTTGGATCGAAATGACAAACGTCAAAGAACAGACAATGTGAGGTCAAAGAGAATCACATGTGTATAAGGTTAATTCAAAAAAGATGTTCCATATGATCTATAAAAAAGAACGTCTACATTCTCATACCTCCTTAGTGGGTGCTTATTTCTAATAAACTTGGGTGTATAAACATTTGTCAAGGATAGGTTTTACCTTTTGAGCTTCGTGGGCCTTGAACTGCTCCACCAGGAATCTATCTACTCTCTTCTTGCTCTGCTCACAAGCTACAGCATTCTCCTCCAGTCTCTGCCGGATCTCCTGTATGTACTTGCTGTTGGACTGTAGCATCATGTTAGTTCCACTTCCAGGGACTTCACAGTCCTGGTTGCTGCTACCAAGGAGGAAATCTGCAGGAGAGGGCTGATCGCTACAAGTGAAAAGGTTCAAATCCCATAAAAAGTTGTTGTATGACAGTGGATATCTGATATTGATAAAATTGCATTAATAAAAGCATTTAAATGTCAGAATACGACACAAATACAATTCTAACTAAATGAACGCTCCCTTTTTTCTTACCTTGAAGAGGAGGCAAAACCAGAAGTGACCAGTTTCTTTTTGTTTGTCTCAAACTGGGCTATGTCTGTCTGGACTGTCTGCATAAACAAAAATGCAATAAGAACATTAAGAGCCTGTGCCATCGAGCCGAAAATGAAAGAGAGATCAGTAAATTATCAAAGCATTCACCCAGAGCCCACCTGTGCTTGTCGTTCTTTGCGCTGCTGCTGCTGCTGCTGCCTCTTCTTTAGGTTAAGCGTTGAAGCGTAGGGAGGTAGTTTGGTCACCTGGACATTAGTGGCCTGGTTCATGTCACTGAACTTCTGAGGACACACTCGGAGCTGCAACATACAGACATGTTCAACACTGCCACTCGCATGAACTTCACTTTATTCAACTGTCAAGCAGCTAGCTGGCATTAAAGTGTTAAAGGTATCTAAAAATGTATTGTGCTGCTACGGGATAATAGTAATGTCCAACACCGAAATACTCTACACTTGTGATAGAAAGTGCATAAAAAAGTCCTGCTGATGAAGATGTGAAATGTGGACAACCTTAAAGTCAGGTCATAAATAAAGAAATATTCATGGTGGAACCATGTGGCAACACTGCATTTTACTCCAGTACCTTCTCACTATCCTTTCTTTGTTTCTCATCCTGGACTCTGAGTCGTCTCTTTTGATGGACAGGATGGTTCATCACAGATCTGTCGCACCATTGCTGGGATTTATCCCCGTAGTGCTGAGGGATTTTCTGAAGCTTCAGCTCTGCATCGCGTTTCACCACCTGGTGCAGTCGCTATATAAAAGGAGAGGAATACAGCTGTTTGTAAAAAATAATAATAATAATGCTATATTAAACTAGTAATGTGAAAACACACGTAAAACATTCAAACACTAAAACACAGTCATAGATGCCATATAGCACCACACAGTTTTTCAGTATTGGTGTAGAGAAACAATATTTATCTCAATATATTTTTACTGATCAAAACATATTGTTACTGGCGACCTGTCCAGGGTGTCCCCTGCCTTCGCCCTAAGTCAGCTGGGATAGGCTGCAGCCCCCCCGTGACCCTAATGAGGATTCAGCGGTGTATAGATAATGGATGGATGGAAAACATATTGTTGCCCAAAGAAGCTGACCTATTACCACACACGCATTCATCCTGCCCCCTTACATCAGAGTAGATCTCATGCTCCTTTTTGTGCAGGTTTGCGCTGGCTGAAGGCTGCATGATTTCCATCATTGTCCCACCGATTTCTGCTTTCTTGTTCTTTTCAAGAGAGACATAGAGTTGGTGAAGGAGGCGTGTGGCAGCGCCCTGCTTTTCCTGCATCAGGTCTTGGGCTGTGTTTATGTCGAAGGAGATCCCCAGCAACTTAAGAGTCGGCTCGATGCGGGTAAAATTATTCATTTTGGAGATGGAGGTGCTATGAGAAAACAATGATTGGATTTAAAAGTTATTTTGCCATACCATTAAATTACTTTACATATCAACAAAGATATAAAAAAAATCTAGGAACGTGACTGACAGAAAGGGCGACTCACTCTTTCTTCATAAACATACTGAAATCCTTCTGCAGCTGATATTTATGCAGAACCTCCCCAATTAGGTAGCCACTGGAGAAATCATTGGCGAAGGTGTCTGGCTCTGTGAAGATGAGCATGCAGTCATTTACACAAACAT